TATACCATGGACTGCTAAAAGAATGAACAGGTTCATGCTGGAGAGGGTTAAACCAGGCTGCTCCTTGGAAGCAAGGATTCTGAAGCTTTGTCTGACATACTTTGGACATGGAGTAAGGAGGGACCAGGCCTTAGAGAGGGATGTCATGCTTGTGAGGATGGAGGGACAGCACAGGAGAGGAATACTCTCTACGAGATGGATTGATTCAATGACTGGGGAAATGTGGGTAGCTGATTCAGAGACAGTGAGATTGGCACAGGATAGAGCAGGGTTTAGGGATGTTGTACGTAGGGTTGCTATGAGTTGCAGGAGACTCAATGGCACATAACAACAACAAGATAAGATGGCAGGTTAAAGACAAAGTCTGTTTCTCTCCCTTTTTCCCTCTAGTATTTAATTGTGTATTAGGTGAAAGTTTATATTTTTGTTGTTATTTGCCATCAAGTTGGAACCAACCATTACCAGCCTCTCCAGTAGGTGTTCAGAGACAGTAAATCACATATGAGGGGAATGCCTATCCTTCTCTCATAGAGCAGCTGGTGGATTTGAAATGTGTGTCTTTGGGATTGCAGTGCAGTTTCTTACCCCCAGGCCACCTTGCTCTGACGGCATACTCCATAGCACACTGTATTGCTAACCAAAAGGCCAGTACCCCACATCTGTACTTCTAGGCTTTTATACTATGAGAAAAGAAATTACTTGTCAAAGCCATTTGTGGCATATGTTATATAAGCACTAGGTAACTGAGTTACCTGATATGTCTTAAACCAGTGGTGAGTGGTAAGATGGAGCCAGACCAAAGATACTTTTGCATAGCTTGCTGAAGAATGAGGGGGAGAAGGCATAACTGGCAGGACTAAGAAAGCTATGGGGGAGTTTTGGGGGCATAGTGTAAACCCAAAGGCATGTGGTTCAAATCAATCTGCTGCTCCACAGGAGAGGGATGGGTAATCTCCAAAATGGATGTCAGAAGAGACTGAAAATTGTACTAGAGCATCATCAAGCCAAAAAAAAAAGGGGAAACATGACAAAGAAAAAGAGATGAACAGAAGGTTTCAAAGGGCAGCTCGAGAGGACAAAGAAAAGTGTTATAACGGAATGTGCAGAGAGCTGAAATTGAAGAATAAAAAGGGAAGAACTCACTCTGCATTTCTTAAGCTGAAAGAACTGGAAAAAAACCCAATGAATTTAAGCCTCATGTTGAAATATTGAAAGATGCTATGGGCAATATATTGAATGACTCAGAAAACATCAAAAGAAGATAGAGGAAATACATAGAATCACTGTAATGTAAACAACTGATTGACACTGAAAAATTTCAGGGGAGTCCCACATGATCAAGAGCCAATGGTAATGAAGGAGAATGAGGAAGATGCACAGAAACCACGGGCAAAAAATTAGGCCCCAGAAATGGGATACAAATTGACTTGTTTCAATTAAGAGATGCAGCCTTGGATGCACTCACCAGTCTATGCCAGAAAATTTGGAAGACAGCTGTCTGGCCTAACAGATTGGAAGAAGTCTATATTTGTTCCCATTCCCAAGAAAGATGATCCAACATAATGTGGAAACTATTGAACAATATCATTCATATCATATGCAAACAGAATACTGATGAAGATCATTAAAAGACAGAACAGTACATAGGTATGGAACTGCCAGAAGTTCAGGCGGGATTGAGAAGAGGCCATAGCACCAGGAGCATCATTACTGATGTCAGATGGACCCTGGCCAAAAGTGAATACTAGAAGAATGTTTATTTGTACTTCTTAATGTAGGACCTTCTAAATTGGTGTGATTTTCTTCCTTTGTCTCTCTCTCTCTCTCTCTCTTTTTTTTCTTTTTTGCTGAATTTGTGGGGATATTTCATTATTTATATCTTTCAATCTTCTTATTGACTTGTGTTTAAGCTTTCTGCTATTATGTTGCTGTGGTGGTGTGCTGTAGAGTCAGATCTGACCCATAGTCGAGTCTCCAGTGGGTTTTCAGAGGCAGTAAATTGCACAGGAGGAGACTGACCATCCTTCTCTCTTGGAGCAGTTGGTGGATTCAAACCACATGCCTTTGGGATTGCAGAGCAGCTTCTTGCAACTAGCCTACCAGAATTCCCTAACTGATATTATATGTCTATATTTTATAATTTTGATTTCCTGAGTTTTGGTATATTTTTTTTATATTGAATAGATTTTTGTTCTTACTTTCAGAATTTGATACCCTATCTCACAGAATCTATCAATTATAGTACTTTTAAGAATGTCCCTTCCTTGCATTATCTCTGCATCCTCTAAATTTCTTTTTACCAGTTTGGTCTTCACTTATTTTCATGCTAGAGGCTTTTCCCAAGTGTCCTGTAGCCCTCTAGTAATAATGTTATTTTATTGATTTAAATTTTTTTATTATTGTTATATTGGTTTATTTAGAAAACTCAAACACATTGTTTTCCAAAACAGATTCTTCCAATTTCCCTCACCCTCCCTTCAAACTGTACAACCCCATGATTAATCTCCCCCTCCCCTTTTAGAGTGAGATAGTGGGATGGTCTGAATGAAGATCGTCAACTAGCTGGCTCCACTGAAAGAGGACTGGTCAGACATACAGGATGTTTATTGAGGGAAACCTCATTCACCCCTGCAGACATTTTTCTTCCCCTAGGTTTGACAATTTTTTATGTGACTATAGGAGATTTTAAGCTGACTGCCAGTATTTGGGAGCTAATAAAGGAATAAGATTAGGAAGGAGAAATCTTATCTTTCAGAGTGCATATCCAGTTATGCCCTGTGCCGTAAGTAAGATGGCTGGCTACTTGTACCTTCATCTGTGCCAGGTTTCCTATGCTCACAGTCTTGGATAAACCTAATCAATTAGAACCATGAAGCTAAATAAATGTCAGGAGGCTTTAGATTAAAGGGCAAGAACATCTAGCAGCAGGGTTTTAAGATTAAAAGAAAATAAACAAATATTCCTTTTTCATTTTTCACACCTTAAAAAAAAAAAACCAAACCAAAAAGCAATGCAAAGAGTAGAAAATTTGCCCAATTCAAATCCTTTTCTCCCCTCCCACTTCCCCATGAGTTTTTGCTTTGATAATGCCTCAGAACTCATTCAGGGTCCAAGTTTGTTTTAAAATAACCCAATGAGTTGACAGACGGAGCTCCTGGAATTCTGCAGCTTGTACTACAGTCTACAGATGGGAAACTGCTGTCAGTTAAAGGATGGTACAATTAACATAGACCAAGTTTTGAAAGCCTTAAAAAAATCATCTGAGTTAATTAGTATTCACCACAGCCACTAGTCTTGTGTTGCAGTATTTTAAGAACTACTCAGATAATAAGAAAACATTATTGCAGCTTCTTTTTTTATATCATTCTTTTTAAAAAATATAGTTTTATTTTATACTGGCTTGCTTACAAAGTTCATATACATTGTTTTTCACACTATCTTCATTCACATTGTGTGTAATACAATCATTCCCATTCATTATATTTTATAAACTTAATCAACAATGAAATATGCACACTGTTTCTCTGTCTTTCCAGAGTTCTGTCAGATCTTTCCCATTTCCTTTACCCACCACTCCCTCTACCCTTCAAATTGTGTGACCCGTATGATTTCTCCCCTGCCCATTCCCACCCCTCTGCTCCTATCCTTTCCCCCTTGGATCCTCATATCTGTTTTACTAGTTTTCTTTCTGTTTCTGCAATAATGGTCTTATATAGTATTTGTCCTATGGGACTGAGTTATCACTTAGCACAATCGCAGCTTCTTTTAAAATAATCCTTTACCTCCTAAAAGTATTTTCAAGGAAATATTTTACCTGTTATAAGTCCAAGTTCTTATATGACTGAACTATAGCATTAAACTATCATGAAATATAAATTACAATCTAAAATAAGTGAAATACTATAGGTCTCTTAAATTAGGAGTAATTTCATTTTACCTCTCTGATCTGCTTCATCCACAAATCTCTTCCAAGAAACTCTTGATGTAAGACTACAGGAGCTGAATTCAGATTAAAAGCCATGGAGTCACTTGCCTTTTCTTTAATAAAAGGCTGGAGGTCAGAATTTATCTAGAAGGGACAGTTAAAAGAGTTAAGTCAGGTCTTCAAGATTGTCTTTAAAGAGCTGTTCAAAAGTAATGTTCATCTTCTATATTTGTTTGACTGCTAACGGTGCATATACCACCTCACTAGAGTGATTTTGTTAGAGGAGCTACATTATTGGCACAAATTTGTAAATTATGTGATCATAAGTCTTTATGAGAAAAAAAAATTACAAAATAAAAAAAAAGAGTTAAGTCAGTATAATGCACATGCACTAGTATGTATTAGTTATATTCAAAAAGCACTAATTAACGTAGTAAAAATGAACCTGAAAGAATGCAGTTTTTAGTTAAACGTTTCAGTAAGCAGAAGAACATTTCAGGTGATTAATAATAGCTTACAGCATTGTTTAAAATGGTTTTCCTTAACATATTCTTTTTCTATTTGCCAATTCACTTTTCCTTTTTTAAGCTAAAATAAACATAAAAAATATGCCAAGATTAAAAACTTCATCCAGAGATATTATGTGTATCTCTTCCTACAGTTTTAAGTAACATGTGAGAAGCATATACTCTATGAGATTTAAAATTACATATACACAGAGGCACTTAACCTGGGGACACTTCATATTTCATATGTGCTTTCAGGAGAATCTCCTACTAAAATTTTAAAGCTTCAGCTTTATTCAATATATTTCTAAATTTCATTAACTTTGCAGAAATGCAAATATTCTTCCATTCTGTGAGTGGCAACATTACATATTATTTAATAATTTCCAAGTATTTTCACAAGAACCCTTTTGAGTGGCAAGAAAAGACAAACATCGCAAATATGATTCAAGTAAGCTATAGCTTTTTATCAAAATTACAATGTATTCACCAATCACACTTTTTATGTTATATTAAATAACAACTGCCATCTATGACTGATAGATTTTTAAGCCACAATAAACATATTTTGAGATATAAAAGCAGATTATTAAAGGGAAAAATTGGTTCCTGCATATTATTTTCACTATTTAAGTACTGGAAAAAGAAGAAGGGTGTTCAAATACCTTATGACTCATGGCCATGTGCTTCCCATACTGAAATGCCATATCCTGAACCTCAGCATCATGCTTTGCTAATTCCATTGCAGCTTGGCAGCTCTTTGCTAGTAAGGCACCATGGGAGAGAAAAGTCTGCTCCTTCCAAGTTGATATTCCAATATCATCTGTGATATAATTTTCCTAAAAATGTAAGAAAAGCCAAGATAAAAGGGCTTTAGAATAATTTACTTTTCTTTTGGAGGAATAGAAAAAGTTAAGAAATGAACTAGTCAAAATACTAATACAATAAGAGAAGAGCCTGGGCCTTGCTATACCTAGAAAAGAACTAGGAGGAAGGGGATTACTAGGGGAATGGAAAAAAATAATGCTAAAGCAAACATTACGTTTTGAATTAAGAACGTTTATTAAAATATAGTTTAAAGAATAAGTAAAAAGTAGAAATTTGGACCTCTAAACTAAATGCCTTCTAAATTCACCTGAGTTCTTGAATACTAGTATTCCAAGACACAAGAAGCCTATAATCTTTAGCTTATATGAAAATGTCAAGGGAATAACGAAGGCACTGAATTATCTTATTGTCATACAGACATGCGTACTAGAGAAATCAGAGATGAAGTCACTAACTATACCTAACACACATTGAGTTACCATGAGTTGGGAATGGCTTGGGGAAAAACCCCCAAACAAACCCCTAAAAAAAAAGCCACAAGTTGTATAAACTTAAAAAAGAACTATTTTACAAAGTATAGGTATTGTTGTTTGTTGTTATGTGCCATCGAGTTGCTTGCAACTCATGGCGACCCTATGTACAACAGCCCTAAACCCTGCTCTATCTTGTGCCAATCACACTGTCTCTGACACTCCCATCTCGATTACCCCAGTCACTGAATCAATCCACCTCATAAAGAGCCTTCCCCTCCTGCACTGTCCCTCCACCCTCCCAAGCATGATGTCCCTCTCCAAGGACCTGTCCCTCCTCACAACATGTATAAAAAATGTCAGACGAAGACCCAGAATCCTTGCCTCCAAGGCGCCACCTGGTTTAACCCTTTCCAGGATGAATCTGTTTGTTTTCCTAGCAGTCATGGTATTCTATAGGTATACATAACATTTAATTGAAAAGTCTGACAATGTATTTATAAAGAAAAATCACATAATACTCCATAGATCAAAAAGAGACATTTGACAAAATCTAATTCCTAATTTTGTGATTGCATTGCAATTTCTTACCACTACACCACCAGAGCTTCCTGTAACTCCAATTTTTGATGTGAAAAGGCTCTGAATAAAATAGAAATAGATATGAATGTTTTTGACACGATAACTGTGCATCTGTGCATGTATATGTGTGTAAGTCCCAAAGCCAGTGAATATTTTAAGGGAAAAGAAAATATTTTTTACAAAAATCAGGAATAAAACAGATGCCCAAAATACCACTGCTATTTACCAATTAAAGAGAAAATAGAAATACATATAAAAATTAGGAAGAAGGAACTTATAACAATTTGAAGACAGTATTACCATGTATCTGGGAAAAACAAGAGATTCAACTGAAAAAACTAATGTGAACAAGAAG